TATGTTGTCCATTATTGTGATCTAAAATCAATAAAAATGTTACAAAATACCAAAAAAAAAAAGTAGAATACGTGGTTAAATCTAGGAAATAGGTTCAGAATTCTAAATATGAATGTTGCAGTAAGTGTTTTCTATTTTAAAAAAAATTTTTGACATTAAATAATTTGTTTAATTGCTAACCTGGAAGATTCTTAGAGTTATTGATCATTTTTATTTGATTTACTTTTATTTAATATTAGATTTTCTTGTTGCTATTTTTAATATTGCTTGTAATAATTCATTAATAATTTATCAAAATCCAACTAAATTTTTTTTTGTGTGTATTTATTTTGTTATGAATCTTTTAAATATTCTAATATGTTTTAAATAAATATTTGTGCAAATATTATATTCAATTATTAATACAATTCTAATGTGAGTAAAATAGATATTTTATCAATTTATTTAAAAATTTTTCGCCTTAAATATTTAAGATGTATTAATTATTTTATTTTTGTAATTCACACAATTTTAAAAAAAATATATTAATTATTTTATTTAATTTTAAATTTATTTTAATTTATTTTTTATAATTAAAATTAATAATTAATTCTCTTTTTAGGAATAAAAATTAAAAACAATATTTTTTTATTTTATCTTTTTGAAATAAAAATTATTTTAATTTTTTAATAAATAGATTGATTTTCAAATAATTATTTGAAAATAATTGTAAAAAATTAAATAAATACTTGTAAATAAATAAATTAATAAAAAATCAAATAGAACTAATGCTTCTCTCTAAAAAAATTAATATTAATTATATCTAATTTATAATAAAATTAAGTTTTAACACAAAATTTATAATGAATTTTCAACAGATATTGCATTTTTTATCTTAATAGTTATATTTAAATTAAATTTAATCTTAAAAATTAAGAAAAAAATCGTTAAAAAATATTTTTAAAATCTTTAAATTATGTAAAACCTCAATTATATTTGCTTAAATAGGTATAATAGCTTTTTAAATGGCAGACTTCTTAGATGATCAAAAATAAAACTTACTTACTAATTTACTAAATTAGAAAATAAGTAGACACTTCTTCCTCAATTTATACTCCTTCTGCGTTTATAAAAAATTAATTTATGTACTTTTAAATACTTGGAGTACAAAAATATATCTTAATGAAAGAAAATAGACACAAAAAGATATGTAGAAATATAATAAAAGTCAAAAATAATAAAAATGATGATATTAATTGTTAAATTATAAAATATTTGTATTTGTCTTAAAAGTAAAAAGTTTGGATATATTTTTAGAAAAAATAATTATAATTATCTTTAAATAAAATAAATAAATTAATAAATTAATTTATAGAAAAAAATCTAATTTAAAAACAATTTTCAATATATTTTTAGGAAAATAAAAACCGATGTTGATTATACAAATAATTTTATTTTCAAATGCTCAATTGAAAAAACTAATTAATTTAATATCAAAACGATATTTTTATTTAAAAATTAAAAAATAAATTTAAATGAATTAAGATTATACCAACTGTTTTGTTTATTTTTTAAATAAATATTTTTTTAACTTTATATTTTAGATTAAAATATTTCAATTACTGTCAATCCTCATTAATTCTCACCAACTCATAGAGTACTAAATGGTGATCATCAACATTTTTAATTATAAATATTCAGAAAATATGGTGAAAATTTATCCTCGTGAGAATTTATGAGGATTTACGGTAATTATATTAAATTATTCAGATATTTTAATTTTTTTATATATTTAATTAGAAATAATAATACAAACTAAACATAGAAATTTTATAAAATTATTCTGAATAATAGTTTCAGGTTTTTATATAAAAATAATTTCAATAAACAAGAATTAAGTTTAAAAAAGAACATTTTGGGCATTATATTTTTTGGTTTGTATTTTATTCTAATTTTTATTAAATTAAACCACAAATGTCTGATTGAGCAGTAAATCCATATCCACATTAATTACAATTAAAAAGACCTTTACTAGATGCTTTTTTATAAATATTTTCTCTATAAGCTTTGCTTTAAAAAGAATTACAAAAGCATCTTAAGCAATAACAAAATTTTGTTGATGGAAAAATGATTGAAATATCTATTAATAAGGCTTAGCATTATTTTTCATTGTTATTAGCACATATTTTACAATATTTTTTTTGAATTTAGTCAAATTTTTGATCTTAAATATTTAATTATTAAACTTATTGTTATGTCTTATTTTTTTTTATGAGATCAAATTTTTTATCATTTTAATATATTTGTTGAGGATTTTTATATATTTATTAATAATTATTATTTTTATTAGAATTGAATTAAGAATTTTCTTAATTTGGCCATAAAAAATCTACTTTTGTACCATAATCATACACTTTTTAAATTTTATTCAATTGTAATTATTATTAAATCTTCAAATTTAATTAATCTAAAGTTTAATTAGAAATGCTAATTTACTACTGTTTTAGCTCTCTCGTTTATGTTTCTTTACTATCATGATTTACATTTATTTAAAATTATGGATTTGAGTATATATTTAAATATTAATCTTATTAACTTAAATTACTTTTAGTTATTTATTTTTTATCTTAATTTTCATTTAAAGTTTATGTTAAAAATTCTTTATTTTTATCTTCTCTTAAATTTTAAATTTAATTTGATAATTATTATTGACTTTATTAGTTAAGGTATTATTATTAATTTAATTAGCTACTATATATTTTACTTTAATTATTATTAAAAATTTAAAATGATTTTTTAATTTCCTATTTATTTAACTCTTGATCATTTTAAATTTTAGAAAATTACTATTAACTTTAATAATCTTTACTCAATTTTTATTCTTAAGTTACTTCTTAAATTGTTTTCTCTTTTTATTAAAAGTGTTTATTATAAATTTAAATATTTAATCTTTCGAGTTTTATTATTGGCAATTTCAGACATTCCTCACATAAATTTAGTGAGATATATTAACCTTATAGATAAAAGCTTTTTGATGTCTTTTTCAAATTATTTTAGCAACATTAACAATTTTATTAAATTTAACTCTCTCTTGATATAAAATTTCTGAATAAATCTCCTGTGATTATTTCATCATCTTTTTTAAATACATTTTTGAATTTTAAATATTTATTTTTCAAGCAGTTGCTTTTTTTAATACCTTTTGAAGCGCATTTTAAGCAAATTACTAATGAAAAAACTTTTGAAGTAGTAACTAAGTCTATTAATTGATTTTCTTTTACATTCTTACAAAAATGACATTGAGTTTTTAATTTTGCAAAATTTTTATTGATAATAAAATCAAATATGCTTTATACTTTAATTCTATCTACATAAATTTAGTATTACTCTTAAATATTTCCTAGCAATGAAAAGGTATATTTTATTAAATTTGTTTTTGATTATTAATTTGTAGATAGTATTGAGTAAATATGCTCCACACAAAAGTAAAATTCTTATTTCGAAATCTCATCAAAAATATTATGCTTTTCTTATCCAAATTCTAATTATTTTCCACACTAGAAGCATTAGATCATTTCTTATTTATTTTCTTTTTCTAATTTTGTATTCTCATTTAATTAATCAGCTTTTTTAACTTTCTTTTATGCTTCCTTCAAGTTCCTTTCTTCTCTTTAATCAAAAATTAACTTATAAATATTATCGATTTTTAATATTTTAATATGAAAAATTATTTCTTTTTCACCTGGAATTATTATTTCTTCTTCAACTTTAAATTTTTGTCTCTCTTTTTAATCAGCTGTTAAATTAATTGATCTTATGCCTACTTATAACGATTAGACTAGAGCTTATTAGTATATTTCATTCATCTCAAATAAATAACAATCTATTTTCCCATAAGAGTTATCAAAGAATTAGCTGAAAACTTCGTCTTTTTATAAGTTGATCATCTCATTATTACATAAAGATATTCCAAAGCACATCATCGAAAAATCAAAAGCCTCATCTTTATAGCACATTTTTAAAAGTTCAGAAATAATGTAACTATCAGAATAATCAGAAAATTTATGAGCTAACAAATAAAGTATGCAATTTAAGAAATAATTTTTGTAATTAATAGATAGGTTTAAATCTGAAACACCATCAAACGGTTCTTCTAATAAATTAATATCTGAGCATTATGTATAGTAGAATTTAATAAATATTTATTAAATAAGTTCATTTTGCTCACAATCTTATTCATCATGTTCTTAATTAAATAGAGCAATTAGATAACCAGTCATTATTGTCCTAAAAAATGAATGATCTCCTCTCCTTAAATCTAAAATGTAATTGAAATTTTCTTAATTTTCTTCATATATATTTTAAAATAATAATTATTTTTATTTATTGTGGGGATATTATTCTTCTCCATATAGTTTTAACGCTTGAGGTTGAATCATTTTATTTTTATTCTTTTTATAATACTTTGAGCAATCAAAATTTTAAGAAGTTAATTCATCAATTGCCCATAAAAATAATGAATTAATTTCATTTGATTGAAATTATTTTGTTTCAATTTTAATTTGCTTTTTCTTCTCAATGCTTCCATACTGAATTACATAAAATAATTTTTAATCTAATTCCTATTATTACTAATTTAACTGTTACTATTCTTAAATTTTTTGTTTAATTGATTATTAATCTTATTAGTTTTTTTCTATAAACTATTAATAATTTTTAACTTGTTCTATTTAATTTATATATTATTCATTAAATTATCTTTAACTTTCTAAATTAGGTTATTTAAGAGCAAAATTATCTTAATAGTTCAACTTTAGATTATTTTGGCATTCATTAATTTATTCTTTTTATGAATTAGGCAATTAGAATAAAGTATTTGCTTTATAATTATAATTTTAACATTAAGTAGTAATTCCATTTTAGTTTACCTTTAAGTTGCTATTATCATTAATATTATTTTTGTCATTGTTCTGTATGTTCTCATAATATTATAATAAATTAGTATTAATGCATTATTTTTGCTATTCTATTTAGTTTTAAGGGGCAAAAAAGCTATTATTATTTTGAAAAATCATTTAATTATTGTTTTGTTATAGATATTACTAATTATTTTATTAAAAAGTATTATTATAACTTTAATTTTAAATTTAATATTAACCTTATTTATTAAATTCTGATTATTAGTTTTACTTTTTCTGGTAATTTAATAGTTCAATTTAATTATTATTGCAATTTTATTAGTTAATATTAATCTATTACTGATAGTGATAGTATTGTTACTGTATTTAAAATTAGGATTACTCTTATTGCTAATTCTATTAAAAATATTGTTACCCTTATTACTAGTTCTATTAAAATTAGAATTGCCCTTTTTATTAATTCTATTAAAATTATGACTACCCTAGTTACAAATCATGTTAAAATTAGATGTTTTGACCTAATTAAAAATATTTAGGATGTTAAATTTAAGTTAATGGTTTTAGCTAAGGCTATATTATTTATTACTAAAACTATTATTATTGATATTACTGCTGCTTTAGATTATCTGAGCCTTAAATTATAAAATTTTGAGTTTCCTTTATTTGCTAACTATTGCATTAATTATTTGGGTTTCCAATATTTTGCTTTAATTGTACTTGATTTTGCATTTAATTGTTTTTAAGGATTTGCTAATTTTCTGTAAAGATATTCTAGTTCTATCCAAAAAGAAATCTTTTTAAATATATTAAATAAATATATCTCATAATTTTATAAAAATTTAAATAAATTTACTTATTATCTTGACTTTGTTGAGACTGAGAGAAATAATTATTTTATAACTTTTTTTGATTTTCTAAAAAACAAAAAATAAATTAAAATTTATAAAAATCTAAATAAAATTATCATTACCTTGATGAGTCATATTTTAAGGATTCATTTTGAGATCAATACCACTCTAAGCTATTTATTGATAAGTTATTTTATTATTTTATTGATGATATTATTCATTTTCTAAAAAATCTTTATTTTGTAGAGATTCTTTAATATGCAATATATCTTCTATACTTTCCATGCTAATTGAACTTTTAAAATGAATATTTAATATTTTAAATATTATTGATATTTTTACCTATCTCCAATGAACTTGTTTAAAGTTGCTTATTATTTTGAATTCATTTTATTTTTCATTTTTATAGCGAAATCTTCATATTATGGTAAATCTTTTGTTTCTAAATGATCTTTTAAATATATAATATCATCAATACTTTCAAAGCTCTATGACCTATTTTTTGAAATTAATTTTAGTAATTTATACATTTTCATTTGTTTACTTTCCTCCTGCAGAAAAATTATCAGGACAAATATCATCTTATAAATTCATTTCTTTTTCTTTAAAAAATGATTATCTCATTAAATAATAAAATATGAAGTAAATAAATAATAATTTAAACTTGCCAAAATTCTATTTTAAAATTCAAAACCAAATTATTAGCTTTTTAAAAGTTTACATCTTACATATAATTAATAGAAAGATAATTAATTACATGTTTATTTATTAATAGACATGGTTCAGAATTTGCGCTTAAGAACAAGTTAAAACTTCAAATACTTTATTAATTTTATGTTTATCTTTTTTTTAATACAAATTAAAAAGGGAATTAATAAAGATCTTTGTTAGTATTTTTTATTATCAATAATTTTTTAGACAATTAAATTTTCAAAAATGTTTGAGTTAAATATTCTAATTAATATGTAAATAAATACATTATATTTTTAATATTTAGTCACCATTTATTAAATTGAAAATACACAATAAAATATTTTTAGTTTTATTTTAAGATAAATTAGCCATCTATGTTTATGCCTAGCAATTTTTCAATTTGTATCAATTAATTTCTAAATAGAATAGAAATATTAAAACATATATAAATAATTTTATAATAAATATAAAAAAGTGATTAAAAAAACTGTTATAAATGAATATTTTATTTTTCAAATAATATACAAAATAATTTTGAAATTTAAGAAATTAAATTAAGAATTAAATAACAAAATATTATAGATATTTCAATTCCAAAAATATAATATTTAAAGATTAATTAAAATAATATTTTAAAATAATCTCGATTTCTACACTTAAAGCAATAAAATGGATATAGTGTATTGTCTTAAATTTTTTTATTTTAAATCAAAAAATGTAACTTTTAATGCAATTGAGATGCATGCTAAGTAATAAAATAATTTATACTAATGAATAATAGTTAATAGATCTTTTAAAAATGTTTAATTAATTATACTTAGTAGATTAATTAATTAAATGTATAAATAATTTTATTTTAGTTTTATCATAAAAACTTTTATATATGATTTTTGAATATTATTATTTAATTTCAGATATTAAATTTTAAATATATAATAGATTTTATTTTTTAATATCATATGCTTAATTATTTTAAAAGAAAATATTAATTATTTATTATTCAAAAGTTTTAAAATAGGTGAATAAATAAATTCAGAAATAAAATATAGAATATATTATATAAAATATTATTACTTATCTTCATAGATATACCTAAATAAAATTATTAAAATAACATTTTTAGCATAATTTTTTTTCTAAAACACTTTATTTTTCTAAACACTTAATAATTTGATCTTTTATAGTTTTATCTAAAAATTGATTTCCACACTTATAGCAATAAAATAGATTTAATTAATGGGCTTTTGTATACATTGCAAATCTTTATTGAACACTTTAAAAGGAATTGCATATACATTATAAGCAATAGTATCCTTTGTATTACTTAGATATATCATAGAGATATATTAACAATGATTAGCATTAAGAATTATTTTTTGATTTACATTTAATGCAAAAAATATTTTAATTATGATCATGCGATTATTGTCCTTAAATTTTAGATTGGTTGATTTCATTTTTTTATTGAATATTTTTTTTAACAATTTAAATTTCTGAAGTAGAATTTAATTATTTAGAAATCTCTTATTAAGTAATTTAATTTTCTTCTCTTTTTAGGTTTTATTATTAATAGTAATAAGCCTAATTAATTAAAGGCTTAGTTAAACACATTTTGCTTAGATATGTTGATTACTCAGTTTATTAAACAATATTATCATTTGCAATTTAATTGGTCTTAAATTATTAATCTTATATTACTTATTAAACTTTTTATTTATTTTATAAAGAATATGGAAAATCTTTATTAATTAGCTATTATTATTATTATATTTATAAAGATTGTAAATTATTTTAGTCCTTTTATAAATTATTTTAATAACTCATTTATATATTTTTATTTGGAATATAATTTTCACATTTATATTATTAATCTAAATTTATTGAAGGTTTTTCATTTTTTATTATTATATTTTATCCTTAAATTTTATTGATTTGTGTTTAAGATGTGTTTGATTATTCAAATATTTTCTAATCTGATTTTTAGTTATCAATTTTAGATGTTTAGTTTTATTATTATTCTAATTTATTTTGATATTTTTAACTATTAATATAATTACGACTTGAATCATAATTTTTATTTTCTAATGTATTTTTATTTTTTTCTTTAAATTATTCTAATTCATATTCCTTAGCTTAAATTTTTACTTTATATACTTAATCTAATACCTCATTTGGGTATAATTTACTAATTGAATCTTATTTCTATTCTTCTATATTATTCTTCTTAAATTATTAATAGTAACTATTATCTATTTCAATATTTAAATTTGTTAGTTTTATTTTTGGTTTTTATAAACATTCTTAGCAAATATTAAGGTTTATGTAAATATCATCAAAATAAAATAATTTATAATGTAAACTTAAATTATTTTGGCAACATTAGCAATTTTTAGAAATTTCACTCTATTTTCTTATATAATTTTTAAATAAATCTACTGTTTTTATATTGTCATCTTTGTTAAATATATTTTTGAACTTTAAATGTTTTTTTTTAAAGGATTAACTTTCTACAATTTTTTTTGAGCCACATTCTAGACAAACCACAGTTTATAATATGTTTGATGAAGTAATTAAGTCTATTAATTTATTTTTGTCTTATTATTTACAAAAATGACACTGTATTTTTAATTAAGGAAACTTATTGATCTTTATAGAATCAAACAAACTTTAAATTTTATATTAAACTACTAAAATATTTTATTCTACTTAACCAAATAATTTAAATTTATAATGTATTATTATATCATTTTTTATTTATTCTTATTTGGTAGAAAGTATTTAATATATATGCTCTATGCAAAATTAAAACTCTTAATTGGTAGCTTCATCTAAAACACTATGCATATTTGGTTCAAATTCTAATTTTTATCCACATTAAAAGCAAACATTATCATCCTCGTCAACTTGTATTTATTTTTTAATTTTTTAATTAGTCTAATAAGTTTTTTTATGTTTATTAGTTATATATTTGAATTTTTAAAATTCTTTTTTATCATAAATCAACTTAAAAATGTTGTCATGTTAAATCATTTTAACATTTAATATAATTTATTTTTATCCAGGAATAAATAATTCTTCTGTGATTAAAAACTTTTACTTTTCTTTTTAATCGGCTATTAATTTGAATGATCTTATGTCTATTTACAAATTTTAGACTAGAGCCGATTAGTATATTTCTATCATTTCAAATTAATAATGATCAATTTTCCCTAGAGAGCTATCAAAGAATTAGCAGAAATCTGCATCATTTTTTAAGCTCAGCATCTCATTATTGCATAAAGATATTCCAAAGCATATCATAGAAAAATCAAAAGCGTCATCTTTGTAGCACATTTTTAAGAGCTCAGAAATTACATAGCTATTACTATAATCAGAAAATTTATGTGCAAGTAAATAAAGAATACAATTCAAAAAGTAATTTCTGTAATTCATCGATAATTTCAAATCTGAAACACCTTTATATGGTTTTTCTAATAAAGTAATATCTGAGCATTCAGTATAGTAAAATTTAATAAATATTTATTAAATAAGTTAATTTTGCTCATAATCTTCTTCTTCTTCATCATCATATTATTTATTAAATAAAGATATTAAGAAACCTGTCATAGCTGTTCTGAAAAATGAATTGTCTCCTCTCCTTAAATCTAAAATGTAATTGAAGCTATCTTCATTTTCTTATTCTAAATTTTAAAACTATTTCTATTTTAAATCATTATGAGGGTATTATTCAATTGCGTATTTTTATAAAGTTTTAGGCTAAACAATTTTATTATTATTTCTTTAAGAGTACTTTGAATATTCAAAGTTTTGAGACGTGAAATCACGTAAAGCACTTAAAAATTAAAAACTTATTTCGTTTTGTTAAAATTCTTTTGTTTCAATTTTAATTTGTTTTTATTTGCCAAGCATTCCATATTAAATTTCATAAAACTCTTAAAATTAATTAAAATTTAAGTTGGTATTAGAGATTTATTCGTTATTTTATTATTAATTTAATTCCTGTATTTATTGGGATATTACTTAAAACTTGTTGGTTTAAGTTTGAAATTAACATATGTTTTAGAAATCTTAATATTAGTCTTGCTACTAAATATTATATTTTTAGTTATTTTATTCTTCATTTATTTAATAAATTTAAGGAATTTGTATATTTTACTAAAGATTTTATTCTATATCTGAAATTTAGGTATTTTAATTATAATTTTAGGTAATTTGATTACTTTCTGTCTGAAATGCTTATTAATTATCCCAATTTTAAGGATATTATGAAGTTTGAATCTAAGATTTATCTTATTGGCTTTAATAATTTAAAAATTATTATTCATTTAATTTCTAACCAAAATTTGACTTTGCACTCTCTTCTGATTATTAATTACCAACACATATTAGTTAATATTACGAAGAAATATACATTTATTACTAACTCTAGAATACCTTTAAATTGCTGTTATCCTGAATATTAATTTTTTAATATTGTAACATCTATTCATGCTGCAATAAATCATTTTAATTTTGAATTTCTTAATAATTTACATACTATTAATTTTCTTGTTGTTGCTAATTTGTATTTGAGGATTGATACTCTTAATAAGTTTAGAAGTTCTAAATTTGAGGTTAAATTTGTTTATAGTCTTAATTTTCAAAATTAAAAGACATTTCTTTATTAACAGTTTTATTATTTGTATTATTGGTATTATTATTTGATTATTGACATTAATATTAAAGAAGCTATTGATTATTAAAACATAAATTTTAAATGTCTTATTAGCTTTATAAATTTATTTTCATCTATGATTAGAGTTAATTTATACTTTACTATTGACTGATATTAATTGAATTACAATTATTTTATTAAATATTTTGTTGATATAATTAGTATGCATTATTATTTTCTTAGTTATTTTAAGTTCCATTCTAAAACTATTAATGTGCATCTTACTAACTCAAATTATCCTACTAATAATTATTTTGCTAATTCAATTAATTATATGAAGAATTTTATTCTGAATTTGTCTAATTAAAGGGCTATTGGCTTTAAAAACCTTAACTATAATTATCATATTATATGGGTTGCTAATATAGATACTAATTATTTTAGGATGAATTTTGTAAACAATTTTGCGGGTATTAAGAATTTTGACTTAATCCATATATGCCACCACACTAATTATTTTATATTTAGGAGTTGTTATGTTAATTATATAGCTGATGCTATGGCAATAATTGCACTTATTATTACCATTATTATTATTATGATTATAATTATGATTATTGGTTTTAATTCGTTTAATTTGGTTGATTTTGGATATCTTGGTTAAATTGATAACTCTATGAAGGAAAATTTGCTTGCTATTAGCCAGGATATACGTATGCATTATTATTCTCTTGATTATTTTATTAACATTACATTTAATTATGATAAATATTTTGAAAATTAGCATTTTAGTTAGTGTTGAACATAATCTAACATGATTGGTATTTTTGCTAAATGAAATTATTTGCATTTTGACTACTTTAAACTTGGTTATATTGTTATGCTAATAGATTTCTTATAAATAAGATAAATAAGATTTAAAAGTTACAAAAAAATCAAAAATTACCTATTCATATTGCTATTACAGTCTTAATGATGCAAATTATCTTGTCCATTATTTTAATTTAAATTAATAAAAATGTTACAAAATGTCAAAACAAAAAAAGTAGAATACATGATTAAATCTAAGAAATAGATCCAGGATTGTAAGTATGAGTGTTACTGTTAGTGTTTTCTATTTTTAAAAAAATTTTTAACTTTAAATAATTTGTTTAATTGTTAACCTGGAAGATTCTATGAGTTTTTGATCATTTTTATTTGATTTACTTTTATTTAATATTAGATTTTGTTATTGATATTATTAATATTGCTTTTAATAAGTAATTTATCAAAACATAAACAAATTTTCTTTTTGTGTCTGTCTGTATTTATTTCGACAGGGAAAAGAATTACTAATAAACAAATCTTTTTAAATATTCTAATATGTTTGAAGTAAATAATTATGTAAATATTTTATTCAAATATTAATCTAATTCATTTTTTTATGAAAAGTAGAAAATATAAAATAAAATCAAAAAGAATAAAAATATAAAAAATTATTGATCAGTATAAATTTTTAATATTAACAAATTTTAAATCAATTAATTATCTTATTTTTACATAAAAAACTAGAAAAGCACTTTAAATTATTTTCAATAAAAGTTCTTATTTATTGTCAAAAGGGTATTTTATTTATGAATTAAAAATTAAATTTAAATGAATAAAAATTAGGTTAACTATTTGATTTTTATTTTATAAATTAATTTTTTTTTTAATAATATTTTAGATTAAAATATTTCAATTAATTATATTTAATTATTCAGATATTTTAATTTTTTTATATATTTAATTAGAAATAATAATACCAATTAAACACAGAAATTTTTTAACATATTCTGAATAATAGTTTGTTTCAAGTTTTTAAAAAAAATAATTTCAATAAACAGAAATTAAGTTTAAAAAAGAACATTTTGGGCATTATATTTTTTGGTTTGTATTTTATTATAATTTTTATTAAATTAAACCATAAATGTCTGATTGAGCAGTAAATCTATATCCACATTAATTACAATAGAAAAAACCTTTACTAGATGCTTATTTATAAATATTTTCTTTATAAGCTTTACTTTAAAAAGAATTACAAAAGCATTTTAAGCAATAACAATATTTTATTAATCTAAAAATGATTGAAATATCTATTAATAATGCTTAGCATTATTTATCATTGTTATTAGCACAAATTTTGCAATATTTTTTTTGAATTTAGTCAATTTTTTGATCTTAAATATTTAATTACTAAAGTTATTGTTATGTTTTATTTTTTTTTATGAGATCAAAGTTTTTATAATTTTCAATTATTTGTTGAGGATTTTTATATATTTATTAATCATTATTATTTTTATTAGAATTTAATTAAGAATTTTCTTAATTTAGCTATAAAAATACTACTTTTGTACCATAATCATACGTTTTTTAAATTTTATTCAATTCTAATTATTATTAAAACTTCAAATTTATTAAATCTAAAGTTTAACTAGAATTGTCAATTTACTACTGTTTTAGCTCTCTCGTCTATGTATCTTTACTATTATGGTTTACATTTATTTAAAATTATGGATTTGAGTATAACTTTAAATATTAATCTTATTAACTTAAATTACTTTAAGTTATTTATTATTTATCTTAATCTACTTATTTTAAATTTTATGGTTAATGTTCTTTATTTTTATCTTCTCTTAAATTTTAAATTTAATTTTATTATTATTATTGACTTTATTAGTTAAGGTATTATTATTAATTTAATTAGCTACTATATATTTTACTTTAATTATTATTAAAAGTTTAAAATTATTTTTTAATTTCCTATTTATTTAACTCTTGATCGTTTTAAATTTTAGAAAATTACTATTAACTTTAATAATCTTTACTCAATTTTTATTCATAAGTTACTTCTTAAAATGTTTTCTCAATTTTTTAAAAGTGTTTATTAACAATTTAAATATTTAATCTTTCAAGTTTTATTAATGGCTATTTCAGACATTCCTCACATAAATTTAGTGAGATATATTAATCTTCTAGATAAAAGCTTTTTGATGTCTTTTTCAAATTCTTTTAGCAACATTAACAATTTTATTAAATTTAACTCTCTCTTGATATAAAATTTTTGAATAAATCTCCTGTGATTATATAATCATCTTTGTTAAATTAATTTTTGAATTTTAAATATTTATTTTTCAAGCAGTTGCTTTCTTTAATATTTTTTGAAGCGCAGTTTAAGCAAATTACTGATGGTAAGAATTTTGAAATAGTAACTAAGTCTATTAATTGATTTTCTTTTATATTCTCACAAAAGTAACATTGAGTTTTTAATTTTGCAAAATTTGTATTGATAATAAAATCAAAAATGCTTTATACTTTAATTCTATCTACATAAATTTCGTATTACTCTTAAGTATTTCCTAGTAATGGAAACCTATATTTTATTAAATTTATAGTTGAGGATTAATTTGTAGATAGTATAGAATAAATATGCTCCACACAAAAGCAAAATTCTTATTTCGAAATCTCATCAAAAATATTATGCTTTTCTTATCCAAATTCTAATTATTTTCCACACTAGATGCATTAGATCATTTCTTTTTTATTTTCTTTTTCTAATTTTTTATTCTCATTTAATTAATCAGCTTTATTGGCTTTATTTTTTTCATACTTGAAGTTCCTCTCTTCTCTTTAATCAAAAATTAACTTATAAAAATTATCATTTTTTAATATTTTAATAAAAAAAATAATTTCTTTTTAACCTGGAATTATTATTTCTTCCTCAACTTTAATAATTTGTCTATCTTTTTAATCAGCTGTTAAATTAATTGATTTTATGCCTACTTATAACGATTAGACTAGAGCTTATTAGTATATTTCATTCATCTCAAATAAATAACAATCTATTTTCCCAAAAGAGTTATCAAAGAATTAGCTGAAAACTTCGTCTTTCTATAAGTTGATCATCTCATTATTACATAAAGATATTCCAAAGCACATCATCGAAAAATCAAAAGCCTCATCTTTATAGCACATTTTTAAAAGTTCAGAAATAATGTAACTATCAGAATAATCAGAAAATTTATGAGCTAACAAATAAAGTATGCAATTTAAGAAATAATTTTTGTAATTAATAGATAGGTTTAAATCTGAAACATTATCAAATGGTTCTTCTAATAAAGTAATATCTGAGCATTATGTATAGTAGAATTTAATAAATATTTATTAAATAAGTTCATTTTGCTCACAATCTTATTCATCATGTTCTTCATTAAATAGAGCAATTAGATAACCAGTCATTATTGTCCTAAAAAATGAATGATCTCCTCTCCTTAAATCTAAAATGTAATTGAAACTATCTTAATTTTCTTCATATATATTTTAAAATAATAATTATTTTTATTTATTGTGGGGATATTATTCTTTTCCATATAGTTTTAATTCTTGAGGTTGAATCGTTTTATTTTTATTCTTTTTATAATACTTCGAGCAATCAAAATTTTAAGAAGTTAATTCATCAATTGCCCTTAAAAATAATAAATTAATTTAATTTGGCTAAAAAAATTTTGTTTCAATTTTAATTTCCTTTTTTTAGTCATTATTCCCATATTGAATTACATAAAATTCTTGAAGTTAATTAGGTGGATAAATCTCACTTTATCCTTAAAATTGATCATCATTTTATTGACTAAATTATTCTTTTTAATTATATATTTCTTCTTAATTTTATTGGTTATCTATCTAATTTTATAAGCAAGATTAATTAATCTAGGAAATTTATCTTTCTTAATTATATTATTCACTACTTGATTGCCAATTTAAATTATTGTTTTATTATTTAAGTTTACTTTCATTTTATTCACAATTTTAAATATTTTCATTAATTTTATTCTAAATTATTTATGAGCTATTATTTTGATTTGTGTGGTCATCAACTTGACAAACTTGATTTTAGTTTTAGGTTTAAGAAGTTAATGTATCATTTAAATTTTATACTTAAGATTGTTCAAATAGATTATTTTAATTTAATGGTAGACAGCCATCTTTTTGCTAATTTTGATTAAATTGGTTTGTTAAAATACTCTACGATTATTAATATTATTGAGGATTAAGTGTAGATTATGCTTGTTGAATCTAATTTGGTAAACAAATATTACTTATATCTTAATCGCTTTAAGTTATATAATAATTCTATTACTACTATTAATCCTAAACAATATTTTAATTACTATTATTATAAAGATTATAATTTTAAAATTGCTACTATGAATTATTATTATTTTAAATCTCCTATTGATTTAAATTGCCCTAATAAATTAAATTATGATAGTTTGTATTAGAAAATTGTTAAGTTTATTAACTTTAATCTATTATTTAGGAACTAATATGACTCTACATCATATATTAATTAGTGTTATTAGGTAGCTAATTAATGTTTTGTTAATTCAGTATTTAATTATTAGTGCAACTTCCAGTTTCTAATTAGCTTTAAATTGGTTGATTATTTGATGATTCAATCTAATTTATACCTTCTTAGTTGCTGCTATTAAAGTAGTTACTATAATTTTGTTGATGATTTACATAATATTACAAATTATTAATATTTTATTCTTAATTGTAGGCTTCAGTATTAAAATATTGATTTGGATTAAAATTATTATCCATATTGTGCTGATAATTAACATTATATTAATTTAAAGAATTCTATTATTAACTATTCTAAGCAAGCATCTCCTAGTTATTTACATCTTGTGTAGAATTAGCATTATAATTATTATATTGTGAGTATTGCTAATTTAACTGATACTAATTATTTTGCTATTAGTTTTATATTTCATTTTATTATTGCAAGTAATTATTATTATTAATATAATTCTATTATTAATTGTTAAAATTTTAATTATATTAGTTTTAGAAGTTATTTTACTGTTAATAATATTATTACTGCTGTAGCTATTACTGATATTAATATTATTGAAGTTATTATATGTTTTGGATCTACTCATTTTATTATTGATTTTAAATATATTGAACTGGTTAGTATCCGCTTGAAAAAAATGCTCCCTGTTGTTAATTATTATACTAGTATTCCTCACCATAGTTATTTTTCTCCTAATTTTACTATTGTTATTGCATATTATATTGTTAATAGTTGTGAAATTATGCATTTTATTAATTATGATTTAAATAATTCTAATCTGAATATGTTTGCTGCTAATTTAAATTAGCATTCTGATTTTTTTTAGATTGATTCTCCTTTTATGCTTATAATATTCTTTACAATTACAAAGATTAAGATTTAAAACTAAGAAAAAATTAAAAATTACTCATCCATAGCTTAGTTAAAGAAAGATTCATCCAAATTAAGTTCTCCATTGTTGTGATCTAGAATAATAAATATATTAAAACTTTTTAAAAAAGAGTAAAATTACATTAGTAAATTTCAGATTCAGTTAGAGGATTCAAAGAATGATTTTTCATGTAAACTTAAGCTGTTATTATTGAAAAATTTTAAGCATAAAATTATTTATTTGTTTATTTACATGGAATTCTATTAGAGTTGTTGTTGTCCATTCTGTTTGTGTTGCTTTTATTAAAACGTAAGAATTACTTTTTATTTACCTCTGTATTTAATGTTTTTTAATAATTAAGTAAATATTATCAATATCTAAAATAATCCCTTCTAATATTTAAAGTCAAATAAATAAATATTCTAATTAGTTTTTAAGCTTAAAAATTCATATATATAAATTTGCTTATCAATAAAAAAGATATTTTATTGAAATATTATTTTTAAAATCCTTATTAACATTAATTAATTATTAGTTTTTAAGATAAAAATGAATATTTTATTTATATTATATTGATTGATATTAATAAATAATTAGTATATATATTATATTATTAATTGTTTAGATTCTAGTATTTATAATTAAACAATTATATATTCTAAATTATTTGTCAAGTTTAAAAATTGAAATACTTATTTTATCAATAAAAAAAGATATTTTATTGAATTATTGTTTTTAAAATCATTATTAAAATTAATTAATTATTAATTTTTAATTTTTAATATGAAGATGAAGATTTTATTTATATTATATTGATTGATGTTGTTATTTACAATTAATATATATATTATATTACTAACTGCTAAGTTTTTATCTTAACTAAATATGAAAAATAATTTTTTTATGCATTTAATATTCAATAAAATATTAAAAATAAAAGCTTTAGAAAATAAAATAAGAAATTTAAAAAATTATTTTTAATATAATCTCAATAATTTTGTAATTTATTTATTAAATTTAAAAAGAACATATTTAAAATAAATTTATTGAATTTTTTATTTTTAATTATTATCCAATATATTAGGTAAAATTTACTCTACTTAACTTCTCATTTCAATTCCTTTAATAAAAAGCCAAAAATTAATGAATATTCAAAAAAAACAAATAAAATCATATTATTAATAAAGCAAAAAAAAAATATTAAATTAAAAAATAAGAAAAACGTATCAAACTTAAGCTAAATGACAAAAAATATATTAGTTTGTATACCACTAATTTTTTAATGGGAATATTTAAATATTTTAATTACTTTTTAAGAATTTAAATTATTTATTTATTTCTACAGAAAAAGAATTTATTAATTTTTCTAAATATTTAATGTCATTTCTCTAAATATAATTATAAAAATTTTTTTTTCACATTTTCAAAAAAATTGTACGACCCTCGCCCTCTCTCGTTCGTTCGTTCACCTAAAACGAGGGACGAGGGAATGAGGTTTTACAGTAATTAGTAATTAACTATTATTTTATTAAATTAAATGAAAAAAGATTGTAAAAATAATTAAATTAAATTAATATTTTATTTTTAATATTCTAAGCAAATTAATTTTAATAAAGTATTTTTTAATTTAATGAGCAATTTTAATATCAAAATTCTGATAACAGCTCAAATAAATTTAAATATATATTATTATTTTTTTAAGTTCATTTTCTAGATGATCTGAAATCTCCCTATTAGCTTTGACTAGCTCTTCTATTAATATTCTATCAGCTTTGTTATATTTCATCATTTTATATAATATAAAGTCTTTATATTTACTCTAAATCTAAAGAATAAAACTTCAAAGTTTTTTATATTCCATCTTAATTAATTAATAGTTGCTTAAATGAAATTATCTTAAATCAGCCAGCAATGCTTTTTACTTAATTTGAATTTTCTATATTATTTTAGGTCATTTAGGAAAGTAAAACTCCAAGGCTGTATATTCCTGATTTATATTTGTGTTTAAAGGAAATATTGTAAAAAATATATGGTGCTTCATATGCTGGTGTGGTTTGGTTTAAATGATATAATAGATTTTAATTTAATATTATTTATATTTACAAGAATATTCAATTTGAGAAATACGGATGAATTGCTAACTTATTCTGTAAACTTAAAATTAAAAATCTGAGTCATCCTGCATCAATATCTTTTTGAACTTTAAATCTCTATGTATAGTATTCTATATTTTCATTGATTTGTAGTATTCTTATACAATTTAAGAAAAAATAGTTCATAGCTCTAACATAAAAGGTCTTCTTACCTAAATATAATTCTTTTAAGTATTAATACCTTCAGTACAATATAATGTTATTATGTATAAATTTTCATTTTTTGAGAAATCAATAAAATAATAGTAGCAAATATTATAGATTTATTTGCCCTATTTCTACATAATTTATAATTGATTTTAATATATCTGAATAAGAAAATTATTATTTAACCTTCTCTTTCTAGATTTATTTTCTTAAATAAATGATAATAATATAGCAATGCTTTTAGCAGTTATTAAAAAAATAGAATAAAATTTTTTATTTGCTAATGAAACTTGTTTATAATTTTTACTTATAAAATTCTAGCTTAATTTCTATGACATTTTTAATATCTTGTTTATTGATTATTAATAAGCAGTATTAAGCTCATACAAATTAGTAATGATTTTAAAACAGAAATAATATTTTTATTCAGTGTAAAAGAAAAATTTTGCATCAAAGAATAGTGTTTTACCTTTAAAATAATCAAAAATTAAATTAAAATAGTTTTTTTGAGTTTTTTGATAACTTAAAAATGAAACCATAGCAACTATCTAACTATATATCTATTCTCGTAATTTTCATATCAATATCATTAAAAAGAAAAAAAAGTGTTTAAAAAAATAAATAAAATAGAAAGTGAATCTATCAACAAACTTTAAATAATAAAAAATTTTAAAATCTGAAGAAAACAAAAGAAATCAGTAATAAAAATAATGTTTTTAATAAACTTGAATATTTAAAATGAGCTTACTAGCAAAATATATTATATATGTACTATTTCTGAATTTTAAAAACAAAATTTATGAAAATAGATGAATTACAAACAAATTAATTAATACTTTTAGTTTTTAGATTATAATCAATGAAAATCTAAAAAAAAATAAAATAATAAAAAATTTAAATAGTTTATTTTTAAATAATTCGATTTTGTTTCGAAATACGAAAACAAACTTTTAAATTTCTTCAAATTTATTTTAATGACTAATTTTAATAATTTTTGCAAATCAGTTAAGTCATTTCGACTAGCTCCTCTATAGAAATCCTATCAGCCTCATTATATTTCATCATTCTATAAATTAAATTTTTGATATTTTGATTTAACGTTGAAGGATAAAACTTTAAGGTTTTTTCTATACCATTGATTTAGTTACTAGTGTGGAAATTAAGTAAATCCTGAGCATTTTACATTTAATTTGGATTTTTTAGATCGTTAGTCATTTAGTAAAGTAAAACTCCAAGACTATAAATATCAGCTTTGTAACTGTATTTGGATTCAGCCTTATGTGTGATTTAGGGAGCACCATAGAGAGGTGAGCCTTAATTTATTTTTAAAAATAAATTAGATTTAATTTAATAAAAATTAAAATAATTTACATTTTTTGGATTGATAAATGGATAACTCTACATCATCCAAAAACTTACCAAATCCAAAATCACATATTTTTGGAATATCATCTTTCATTAGTATATTATCTAGCTTTATATCTCTATGGATTATATTTTCTATGTAAAGAGATGTGTAGTATCCTTTAACAATTTAACAAAAAATAATCATAATTCTTTACAATGAAGGTTTTTTTTCTTGAATATACTTCTTGAGTGTACCCTAAGGACAATATTCTGCAATTAAGTATAAATAGTTTGATGACATACCAGCAAAATATAGCTCGCAAATGTATTTACCCTTAACTTCTTAGGCAACATGCATCTCTTATAAAACATCATTATAATTTCCAATCAAAACCATTTTACATGCATAGAATTTTTAATCTTTATTATATTTGCATAAATAAACAGTTCCATATGATCCGCTTCCTAATTTGTGTTTCAAATAAATTTGATAATCGTGAAACAATTTAATTTCTTCTTTATCATTTTATTGATATTAAATATTATTTTATTACAAATAGTTTTGTTTTTCCTAATGGTAGAATGGTTGATTCACTTAGTATTATTGTTAATTTATTGGTTGGTTTTGTTGATTTATATAATTATTTCCATAAGGAGATGTAAGGCCGTTATTATATTGATAAATATTATTATTTTATTGCTAATTATTAAACTAAAAATTATTTTTATTATTATTATAAAAGTTCTACTGCTAATTATTTGGTATATTTTAGTTGTAGAAATAATTAGGCTGAAAGTATTAGTTATTTTAGTTGAAATAATCATTAGAAATGAACTTCATTGTTTCGTTTACTGGAGATATGTTAACTTCTTTCTTTCTTATCTTACCTTTCTCTTTTTTAAATTTTTAGGTGTATTTCTTCTTTATTTAAATTATTTATTATCTTATTGTAAAGATTTAAATTTTTGATTAAAAGCAGCTTTTTTAATATTCTATCTAATTCTTTGTGAATGAAATCAACTAAAAATACAAAGATTCGATATAATTGATGTTTAGTTTCTACTATCTATAATTTAAGTTATTTTTAAAACTATTTTTAAATATGAACAAACATAAATAGAGAAATAAACAAATGTATTTTTATAAAGGCAGATTCACACTATAAATCTTAAATTTAAAAGGCTTTAGAATTTACAAATAAATATTTTTTAAAACAATATCTAATTGATTTTTACAGTTGCTTTACTCTTAAGTAGTAAAAAATATATTCATCAAAAATATCTGATAATTTTATTACTTTAATTTTGATATTAAACTTCTTTCTTACCTTAACTTTCTCTTTTTTAAATTTTAAGGTCTATTTCTTATTTATTTAAATAATTAATAATCTAATAGTAAAGATTTAAATTTTTGATTAAAAGCAGCTAATTATTCTAGTTATCTGTGAATAAAATCAACTAAAAAACATAAATTTCAGGCATAATTGATGTTCAGCTTCAACTATCTAAAATTTAAGTTATTTTTAAAACTCTATTTAAATACGAATACATATAAATAGAGAAATAAACAAACGCATCTTAATACAGATTAACATTATTTTGTATTTACTTTCTAATAATTTTTAAAAAAATATGTAATTGATTTTTACAGTCGCTTTCCTCTTAAGTAGTAAAAAATATATACACCAAAATATCTAGTAATACTAAAGCATTTTTTATTACTTTTTATTTTAAATTAGTTATTATTAATTTATTTCTAAATTTGTTTTTTTTGCTTTTAAAGTATATATTTAATTAATTAAATCACATAAAAGTAAAATTAGAAAAGGGTTATAGATAGATATAAATTCTCTTCTTTTACAGTATTTATTTTTTAGTATTTCTCAATTATTTAGCTAAAATTTCTAAATTAGTAAAATGCTTTTATAATACATGAAATAGATAGAGTTTTTACTAATTTAAAAATTATTATTAAATTTTTACAAAATTTGAAAATTTATCTGATATTAAATTAATTAATAGTATCTTGCTCAAATTTATTTCTTTTTGCTATTTAATGATGTGTAACAAAAGAAACTTCAAACATTAAGACATTCAAAATGGCAGATAAAAAAATTTCATAAATTAACTAATAACTGAATAAAAAAAGGAAGAAAATTGTATAATTTTTTAATAGATTTTTATCATTGATAAATAGAAAATTAAAAGTAGATGATTTAAAAATTTTAAAATTATTTGCTTTATTCTATCTTTGTTGAACTTTAGCTGCAGCAGGAACTATTGCTATCAATTGCAATAAAAGCGGCATAAGCAACTATGTAAATTGTGGTAGTCCTGGGTTTATTAAGGTTCGAAATCTATTTTGATACCTTTTTTTATTATTTTACTAAAAATATATATCATAATAGAGAAATAACTATTCAAGAATAGCAATATCTTTGGCTGATGTAAATATTTATTTCATTGATCCATTAAATTTGATGGATTATTTATTGATAATTTTTTAATTTTTTATTTAAATAAAATTAATTTGTTAAATAGGGTATAAAATTAATTTTTAAAAGTAAAATATGTAAAAAATAAAATAATGAATAATATTTTTTTAATATTTTACACTAATTTTATTAAATTTATCTTTGACTATTTTTTCATCTATTTGATTTAAGCTGAATTATGTTAATCTTAGTAATAATCATTGCATATCTGAACATTGTATATAACAAATTATATTTCATTCATTTATTAATTTAAATTATATATATAATTATTACATCAAAGGTATTCAAATAATATTTTTTTTTTACAAATATTTAAAAAAGCACTTAAAAACTTAAATTCACTTTCATAAAAATAATTTTTAGATATAAAAATTATTGTTTTACAATTTAGAATTGTATAATAATATTTTGTTAATATATGCTTATTATACTGCACTTATGATTTGATTGGTTACAAATAATTGCTAGATAAAATCCAAATAGATTTAAAACATCAAAATAATAAATTTTTTCAAGTAAAAACTTTAATTTTAATTAAATTAGGTTAATTAATAAATTCTGTCATATATGATTTTTGAAATTTGAATAGCCACCGCAAATTTTAATTTTTAATTTCAAAAATTACATTAGGCTGACAAAAAAAATATCTAATGTTACATAAGGTAGCTTATATCAAATCTATTGTTTTTATTTTTATTTTTATGTATTTATGTGTAAATAATATTACTTTCATTAACAGTCATCATTATTTTGATTGAAACTTTTATCAAACTATTTATAAAAATATTTTATTTCTTTTAAAATTTGAATTAATTATTTTGAATTAATTTTTCTAAGTTTATTTTTTATAAAATATTAACATTCTATTTTAATTTGATTGTAATCAATTTAATTGGAATAGATAAAAATAAAAAGCCTATTTTGTTTTAGTTTTAAATTTTACAATTTAAAAAACATTTAGAATAGATAAAAAAATCATATCAAAATAAATTAATCTTTTTAGTCATTTCAATCAGTAGTACCAATAAACTTAAAATTTATAAATGTTAAAGATATTTTCGTAAGCTTTAAATTACAACCAAATCTTAAAACAAATATGAATTAAAATAAATTAAAAATTAAAATAATAATAAACTTAAAAAAAAATTCTTCAAATAAAAAAAATGAACTCCAAGATTATTTTCGCTTTGTTTTGCCTTTTCGCTGTTTCACTTGCTACTGCAGGAACTACTAATATTGATTGCCTTAAAAATGGTGCTTGCAATGATACTAATTGTGGTAAATCTGGTGCTAAGACTGATAACTGGTAAATTTCTGGAACAAAATGTGCCATCGCTGACTGTTCATAATTGACAGCATCAGGTGCAACTATTTCAACTAATGCTTGTACTTCTTGCAATACTAGTGCTAACCCTGCTAAAACTCAAGCTAGCTCTGATAATTCTTAATGTATAGTTAAAAGCAGTGCTAAGCTTCTTATTGCCAGTGCAGCCATTTTTGCTGCTTTGTTTTTGTGAGTCTGAAAAAATAAAAATAAAAAACAAGTAGGCTAGAAAAGAAAGCAACTAAATTAACTAATTAATATAATTTTATTGAACTGTAAAATAAATTTCATATTAGCCTTTGTTTTTAATTTGATATTATGGATTAATTAATTTTTCATACAAAATCTATATCTAAATAATAAATTGTTAATAAAATTTACAAATTGTTTAAGATAAATTAGTTAATTACTTGTTTTTATCTAAATAATATTTTAAAAATTAATCTTAAAATAAATGTCTTATCTTATTTAATTAATTAAATTTATATTTATTATACTTTTTTTAAATAAAATAAACAATAAAAAAAAAATTATGTTTAAATTTTTTTAATTTCAAAGTATTTTGATTGAATTTTATATTTCAAAAAAAATATTCAAAAAAAAATAATTATTATTATGTCAAGGTATTAAAATAATATATTTATTTTACAAATATTTAAAAAAAACAACTAAAAATTTAAATTCGTTATCATAAAAATAATTTTAGATATAAAAATTAGGATTTAGCGTTGATAGTTTAATTACTTAGAATATTAAAATAATATTTTATTAACAGAGGCATATAATTTTATTTCACTCTTAAACTGCACTTATGATTTGATTGGTTACAAATAATTGTGAGAGTAAATCCAATTAGATTTAAGTTAAAACTTTAAATTTTAATTAAATTATGTTAATTAATAAATTCTGTCATATCTGATTTTGAAATTTGAATAACCACTGCAAATTTTAATTTTTAATTTTTAAAAATTACATTAGGTTGATAATACAAACATCTAATGCTACATAAGGTTGCTTATATCAAATCTATCATATTATTTTTATGTATTTATACATAAATATTACTTTCAAAAATAATCATCAAAGCTTAATTATCATAATTAAAGTATTTATAAAAAATATTTTATTTCTTAGAAAATATGAATAAATTATTATAAACTCAATTTGCGTTCATTTTTTCTTTGTTTATTTTTTATTTTATATTAGCATTTTATTTTACTTTAATTGCAATAAATTAAAAATTGAAATATAGTGTAATAAACATCCTATTTTGCTTTAGTTTTAACTTTTACAATTTAAAAAACATTTAGTTTTGATAAAAAGATCATATCAAAATAAATTAATCATTTTAGTAATTCCAATCAGTAGTACCAATAAACTTAAAATTTATAAATGTTAAAGATATTTTAGTAAGCTTTAAATTACAACCAAATCTTAAAAAAAATATAAATTAAAATAAATCAAAAATTAAAATAATAATAAACTTAAAAAAAAAATTCTTCAAATAAAAAAAATGAACTCCAAGATTATTTTCGCTTTGTTTTGCCTTTTCGCTGTTTCATTTGCTACTGCAGGAACTACTAATATTGATTGCCTTAAAAATGGTGCTTGCAATGATGCTAATTGTGGTAAATCTGGTGCTAAGACTGATAACTGGTAAATTTCTGGAACATAATGTGCCATTGCTGACTGTTCATAATTGACAGCATCAGGTGCAACTATTTCAACTAATGCTTGTACTTCTTGCAATACTAGTGCTAGCCCTGCTAAAACTCAAGCTAGCTCTGATAATTCTTAATGTATAGTTAAAAGCAGTGCTAAGCTTCTTATTGCCAGTGCAGCCATTTTTGCTGCTTTGTTTTTGTGAGTCTGAAAAAATAAAAATAAAAAACAAGTAGGCTAGAAAAGAAAGCAACTAAATTAACTAATTAATATAATTTTATTGAATTGTAAGTAAAATAAATTTCATATTAGCCTTAGTTTTTTAATTTGATATTATGAATTAATTAATTTTTCATACAAAATTTATATCTAAATATCTTATTTTGAAATTTGAATATCCACCGCAAATTTTAATTTTTAATTTTTAAAAATTACATTAGGCTGACAATAAAAATATCTAATGATACATAAGGTAGCTTATATCAAATATTTAGTTCTATTTTTATGTATTTATGTATAAATATTAATTTCAAAAATCATCATCAAAGTTTAAATCGAAACTTTTATCAGAATTAAAGTATTTATAAAAATATTTTATTTCTTTGAATAAAAGAATTAGTTATTTTAAATTCAAATTTGTTTTCATTTTTTCTTAGCTTGTTTTATTTATAAAACATTAGCATTCTCTTTTACTTAGATTGCAATCAATTTAATTGAAATAGACAAAACTAGCAAGCCTATTTTACTTTATTTTTAAATTTTACAATTTAAAAAACATTTAGTATAATAGATAAAAAGATCATATCAAAATAAATTAATTAATTTAGTTATTCCAATCAGTATTATCAATAAATTTAAAATTTATATATGTATAAGAAATATTTATAAGCTTTAAGTTGTAACAAAATCTTAAAACAAATATGAATTAAAATAAATTAAAAATTAAAATAATAATAAACTAAAAAAAAAATTATTCAAATAAAAAAAATGAACTCCAAGATTATTTTCGCTTTGTTTTGCCTTTTCGCTGTTTCACTTGCAACTGCAGGAACTACTAATATTGATTGCCTTAAAAATGGTGCTTGCAACGATGCTAATTGTGGTAAATCTGGTGCTAAGACTGATAACTGGTAAATTTCTGGAACACAATGTGCTATTGCTGACTGTTCATAATTGACAGCATCAGGTGCAACTATTTCAACTAATGCTTGTACTTCTTGCAATTCTAGTGCTAACCCTGCTAAAACTCAAGCTAGCTCTGA